AGGTTTAAGGTTTACTAGGTAGGGTGTAGGGTAAGAGCTTATAAGCGCAAGGATCTGTGATTCGGGGGTCGGGCTTTGGAAGTAGGAGTTACATGCCGTTCCCTACATGTCCATGTTTAGTTGTTTCAAACATCACCTTCTTTGTGGTTAGAATGGTTGAAGTGGGGTTCATTGGTCACATTTTGGGAACCTCTGTGAATCCAAAGTCTGTACTTGCCACCTACATTGGGTTCTGCCCCAGACCCTAAAGTCTACGAACAGTACCCACTTTGGGCTACTTGGATCCCTGGAGGCTAGGGTAGGATAAGAGTCGCGAGATTCGGAATTATGAGCGGCGACCTGTTTGGCTGAGATCACGGGCTAGTTACCCTGAGCCCCCCAAGTACATGGGCCCCCCTAATTGGGTACTGCCCCCCTCAGTAACAGTTGGATAATAAATAGAATATGGTTATATATAGCCGTTAATAGGACCCCTAATATAGACTGTTACTGGGTGGGGGCAGTACCCAACCTACACCCTAAACGGGAGCTCCTCGAGGCTAATTCGGGATCATGAGGCCTCAGCTAGGGTTACGCTTTCAGGGGTCACCATGGCAGTCCGATGATAGGAGGGTCAGGCTTTAAGCAGCCCGGGATGAATCACTTTGACCTGAAAGTAACGCTTTTGGGGTTTGAGGCTGGGGGTTTCGGGGCATTTTCTGCCATGTTTTATGAGGATTTTCGTCGATTCATTAACCTACGTTTCGGACTTTTCTGCATTTTTGGGGTCTGTGGTCTATTGTTTCATCCACTTGTGAGGTCCAAACTTGTATCCCTATCTTCATAGTATTCTTGTTGTCGCCGGCACCACTGCTCTTAATACCTGTCCCTTACACTATCGGTACTTACCTGTTTGGTTGAAGCATACTTACATTCCCACTCCAACTGCCACTAACTTTGAGTACGGCTTCCAACACCACTCTTTTTGCCGAGAACGGTGAGCTTCCTCAGCCTTGTGTGTTCTGGATGTATTCCTCTGATGTATGTGGGGTTTCTCCAGGCCTAAACCCTAAACCAGAGTCCGTAAGGCCTCCTTATAACAAGGACTAGATTCTGAGATTGTTCTGAGTGTATTCATCGAGAAGCAAGCTCCCATCTAAAAGACCCTAAATAGCTAAAGCAGCGAATTCTTAAGTGCGGCAAACACGAAAAATCCTGCATGGCCCTCAGTCTAGGGTCTAGGGTACTATAGGACACTCAGCACGCTAAACTCATGCAGGATTTGTGGTATCAACAGCACAACTTCTGTGAGGAGCGGATTCAGCAGCTGGAGCAACAGCTGGAGGAAACCGACAGCAGCTATGATCAGGAGAAGATCCAGGTGGAAGTGTAGGATTCAGGGGTTTGGGGTTTTGGGTTTAGGGTTTTCGGAGGAGGGTTTTGGGCTTTTGCTGGGCTTAGCCAAACCCTACAGCCTAAACTCTAAACGCCACAGCTCTCACATGAAAGCTCAATGTCATGGCTTAGGTTTGTCTAGGGTGCAGTGTTTCAAGACGCAGCTAGCTGTAGGGTTGTTGAGCTCGAGCTGGCAGGGTAGCTAGATGTTTGATGATTGCGGATACGGGGTGTATTGTAGGCCTTAAGCTTTGGGATTAAAGGTTCAGGGTTTGTGGTTTAAGGCTTAGGGTTTATAGGGGTATATTGGGAGAGGCATTCCATACTCTCTTCACTCTAGTGAGAGCCCGACACCCAAGTCCCTACCTGGATGAACCCCAAAAGTATGTAGAATAATTGCCTTTTGGGCTTTTTTTTGTGTGGGTTTCGGGCGATTATTTTACATACTTTAGGGGTTTTGGGTAGTCCTTTATCCCTAAGCGGTACTACTACATGAAGGTTATCTTGATCGTTTCATTAGTATACTAGCACTTCCCAGAATAATCTCTAGATCATCCCGAATAAGGGCGCGAAATCCTTGAAGTCTAAACGGCCCCATGGCCAACCTTTGAACCATAAATTCTACCCTTTAGGTAAAATTGCATTATTGCTGGGTTGTTTCCATCAAATCTACGCCACATTTTGACAACCGGGGATATGCCTACACCCTAAACCCTAAACCCTGCACCCCAAACCCTAAACGAGTTTATAAAATGGGGGCCCCTAGGGGTTCATGGATATCTGGAGGTAATGTAGGCTGCGGCTTCAGGTTTAGCCATCCACGATTCGAAGCCCGAAGCCTACAGCACGAACGCTTGTCTTGGTCATTGCTGGTCACGGTTTGCCACTTTAATTAATGCCTAGAAAAACACGCCCTGGGAATATACAGTTACAACCATGTTTGTACTAACATCCCAGTAAAGAAGCAGTATCCACATCTCAAGTCTAAGATCTTCTGAGCCCTCGACATCTTGGCCAGAAGCCTGAACCAGTAGTAGACCAACGCCAGAGACCCGCAAAGCCAACTCACGCCTTCCTATACTTAGTTCTAGGGTTGAGTGTTTGAGGTCAAAGGTTTAGAGGTTTTAAGCAGGGCTTCTCACAATCAGGACCCCATAGCCCATCATATGAGATCCGTATATAGGGTACCAATCTTGAGGAGTTGGTTGCCGAGCCTCTTGCCTTGCTGTAGCCATATTGGCCCAAGAAGATTTGCATGTGAGCATGTAAACTGGCTCATATCAGGCGGTGATCAGGGGGGTCATCGTGATTTAGGCAGTGTAGGATGTAGGAGTAGGCCGTATCACGTGCACGCAGGCGCCCCCAGAGATTCCAGAAGGTTTCGCGCTGTCCCAAACTTAGCGCATGCAGGTCCAAGAGGAAACTGTGGTCTATTCTTCTCTTTGCAGCACAACTGAACGGAGGTTTAGGGCTTACGTCTGAAGGCTACACCTTAGAACGACCCCGGAGCTCGGGGCTTAGACCTAATACCTGCCCCATTTTCATGTCGTGTACCGCAAGACTTATGCAATAGGGCATTGCCTATAACCCTGCATGAACCTCAACCCTAGCTAGAGATAGCTAGAGTTCGTTAACAGTAACCCAGCTCCGGGTAGCGAACGTGCGTCCGCATGGAGAGGGAGCTCCAACTTACAAGGTTTGATAAACTCAAATCCTGCGAAATGCTGCGACTTGCAAGTTTCGAGAAGCCCTAGATCCTGTAAACTCCATAAGCCAACCCCTGGGCCCAAGACCCTATGAAGTCTTCAAGCCAATCAACGCTAGAATCCTGTACCCTAGAACCCCACACCCCTGAAAACCTAGACCCTAAGCCCCTAAACCCCTAAACCCCTTAACCTTAAACCCCTCACCCCTGACCCCAAAAAGATGGTCCGAGTGTGCCATGCCTCTTTTCGAAGTCGTTTGGCCAAAGGGACCCTGGGTCAGGATTACAGGGTATAGGGTTTAGGGCTTTGGGTTTAGGATTTGGGGTTTTGGGTTCAAGGTTTTGGGTTTGGGGTTTTGGGTTTGATGATATGGGTAGTTCCCACAATTAAGGTCCCATTTTGGTACCCCTAAATATTTCTTGCTGTAACATAGTCTATAACCAAAGGAGTTCATAATCTCGAGAGAGCCCATAGAGGCCTAGAAGGTTGGGAGGTTAAGATCTACACGGCTTGGGGTTGTAAGGGCGGGCGTATAGGGCACAGGGAACAGGTCTTCAGCTTATAGTTCAAGTGTGGAAGGCTGAATGTCTTGAGTTTGAGCCATCTTGGTATTGACATGTACCTATGTACTTTCTTTGATAGTGCCACTTTCATGGACTGTTACGTGCCCCAAACCCTGAAGGTAAAATCGTCACCCAAAACCCCTAAGCATAGTCCGACAGGCCCTAAATCTACATACTACTGGAGTCCAGGTAGACCTGAACACGAACCCCTAAACCCTAAGCCCTAAGCCCTAAAACCCAAACCTTTTCCAAAGAAAAGCCCCCCATCCAAAGGAATCGGCTATCGAACTGCACCGGACCTCGCTGCGAAAGCAGAAGACAGGCCACATCCAAAAAACAAGTACTTAGAGGGGTTACTATAGGGGTTATATAGGGGTTATATCAGGATAATGGAAAAGCAATGGAAACTACCATTTAGGGATTAGGTTTTAGGGTTTGGGGTTTGGCGTTGAGGGTCTGGGGTTTGGGGTTCAGCGTTTGGGAACCGAGGTTCATCAGCAGCTGCCGGCTGGTACTTCTCAAACGTTAAGACGAACATTGCAGCGGCATTGTTGTAGCAGCCTGTGTATCCTTTGGTGTTCACGAGGATGAGGGCTTCTCAGAAAGCCATTTAACAAAAGGGGGCCCGTGCTAGAAGATGGTGAACTTCATGCAAGACTTCCAGTTCTGGACTTGCGTTTGACGAATTGGAGTTTAGGACTTAGGGTCTTCGGCCTGTGGATAAAGAGTTTCGATTCAGTGTCTGTGCCGTGAGCCCAGAACCCATGAGGCTTAAGATGTAGCGTTGAAGATTTAGGAATCCAAAGGCGTGAGCCATCTGCGCATTTTGATTTCCAAGCATTTTTTGGCACTTGAGGGATTGTCATTATTACTGTTATTATTGCCATTAGTAGTATTGTTTTACCAGTATTCTGTTGGTATTATTTGTAGTATTGTATGTTTATTGCCACTGTTATTATTGGTATCAGTACTACTATTATTCTGGTTTCGTTTGGGAGACTCTGGGAATGTGTGTTGGGCACCCGAAGTTTGTGCAAAGTAGCAGGGAATAGGGGTTTAGGCTTTGGGGTTTAGGGAATGATTTGCCTGGTCACAAGGGTATGGGGTGGAGAGTTTAAGGATCGGTGCAAGAAGTCGTTTAGGGCCACTGTCTAAACTCCTGGTATCTCCCTTAATAAGACCTATAAGGCTCCCTAAAGAACCCCCTTAAAGGAGTTTAGGCTACAGCTCATTTAGGGCCTGAAATGTCTAGAGCCAACTCAACATGCCTACTCGGCGCGTTCTTCCACGGGTGAGCCAGGGAGCCTAAATCCTAAACCCTAAAGCTTTAGCCCTATAAACCCTAAAGATTTTTGGGTTTAGGCTTTAGCCTTTAGGGTTTAGGGCTTAAGCCCTAAACACCAAACCCTACAGCCTAAACCATGAACCGCAAACCCTAAACCCAGGGACACTGCTTAAGGGAATCTTGCAACTTGGGGGGCTTCTCCCTTATCGAGTGTCAGCTCTCAACTTTGGGATTCGGGGCGGGTTTTGAGGGCTTCCTTTGCCATTAACGAAGTGGGTGGTTCCCAAAATTGGGGTCCCATTCTGGTACCCATAGATTTTAGGTGCCGTCATAGAATCTCTAGTCCAGAGGGGCCCATCATTTTGACAATAGACCAAGTCAAAGTGCAACATTGCGTAGGGGCTACAGTCTAAAATTCCTAAAGGGTGGTCATATAGGGGATCATGTAGAGTTTAGGGTTTAAAGGTTGGATATATGAGGGGGGCGTATTAAGGGGGATACGGTCAAAGCTTTATAATAAGAAAATTACGTCCGCGTCTCAGAATCTCAATGTTTCTTAAATTGGTGGCGAGTATAAAAAATGTAGCAATGGGCCCCAGGCTCTCCAACATATTTCTAAAAAATCAACCCTAGATCTTGGATCCAAATGTTAGGACCTTTGGGTTTCGAGTTGAGGGCTTGGGAGGGTGGAGAGGCTCGACACGAACTAGTGGCAGTCACTAATTCGTTTTAGCGTTTTGCAAGGGGTGGGCTTTGAACCAGGGACCTTTCGGTTTCGAGTTGAGGGCCTAGGAGGGCTGGGGAGGCTCGGGAAGCCCTGGGATGCTTGGAGAGGTTGCGAGAGGCTTTCACAGAGTGCGAAACGAATTAGTGGCAGCCACCTATTCGTTTTAGCATTTTGCTGGGATTTGAACCAGGGACCTTTGGGTTAAGAGTTGGAGGCCGGGGAGGAGCTGGGAAGGCTGGGGAGCCCCTGTTCCTGAAGAGATTCTGAGAAGCCCGCCTCCCGAGCCTCCCCAGCCCCTCCCAGGCCCTCAACTCTAAACCGAAAGGTCCCTGGTTCAAATCCCACCCCTTGCAAAACGTTCAAACGAATTAGTGGCTGCCACTACTTCGTTTCGCGCTCTCTGAGGGTTTCTCAGAACCTTTCCAGTAAATTCAGGGCCTCCCGAGTCTCCCCAGCCCCTCTCAGACTCTCAACTCTAAATTGTTGATGCGAACCAAAGTTTTTCCGCCGAGTGAGACTCAAATAATGTATTTTCAGTGGATCCAGGGTCTCATTCGAGTAGTATTCTATTCGGGGATACTATGGTACCCATTCTATCCTCCCTTTGGGGTATAGTATTTTATTTGAGGAATATAAGCTTACTAGGTTCAACCACCAAAAATATTCGTTTCTTGTTTAATAGCATTTCTTAACATACTGATCGAC